TGCCCACCATTCAATAAATCATGGATGAACTTCTACATCAATTCCACTTTCTCCCTCATGCCCACAATTCGATCAATCTTTCTTTCAGATATATTCATCATCTGAGAACCACACCTCACAGGGGTAGATAATTCCTAAGATTCACAACTCTGAGTGCAGAAATTCATCTCAGTTCCAAATAGCTGGCCCTCAATCCTGAGATGCTTATCCCTAGTTCTGGACACTCCACACTTTCTCACTTTAAACTTGCTCACTTAACTAGCATGCATCCTTTTTCACTCTCTTTGCATCTCCCTCATATCTCATGTATCCACCTGGCTTGTGTTGATGGTAACATTGAATATGTTGTACTCATTTCTCTCATCTAAGTCATGAATAAAGATTATGGATAACTCACTGAAAGAGGCTGCATTTTTCTTTTTTTAGGACTATAAACTGAGGTGGAAGATTGTCTGCTCGATAGCTGAAATATCAAGAAGAGCTCTGCAACTTGAAAAAAATGCTGCATGTTTTAGGTTGTTGCTTTTTCAACCAGTGAAGAAGAGAATTTGAGACCCAGTGGCGACTAGGGAAATTCTGACTGACAATACCTTCTGCTTGCTTGAGCTCCTGAGTGTTAAAAAAAACTAAAAACCAGGGCAGTAAAGAAATCCACAGCCTATGACCTAAATGTATCCATCTCTTCCTTTCTGTCTGTGCAGAATGACAATAGAACAATGAGAAAGTTTAAAAGAAACAAACAATTCGAACAAGAAAAGATCCAGGTCTGCTGGACAAATTATTGAAGTATAACCATTGTTTTACAGACAGCAGCATTAAAAACTCGAAACGGACTGAGACACAATTTGACCACACTTGAAATTAGAACTTGAGGGATTTGGAGTTTTGTTCATTGTGTCTATATTCTTTGTTCACCCATAGTATTTATGTCAAACTGTTCTCTTTTGTCTGTCTTAATTATAAAGAAGTGTATGTATATTTGGCACTTTTGAAAGAGTAAAGCTTAAGTTGCATAGTAGGACATTAGAAATCCTTAAGTTTCTCTACTTTTGTTCAAGTGTTTTACAATGAATAGAGTTATTTTCTGTTAATTATAAAACCTTGTGTGAATGTTTTTGTGCCATACAGCAGTCAGTCAGGCAAACTGGTCATCTTCATGGTCTAATTGAGGTTTTACACATTTTGGGATGACTAACAGAACAGTGCAGCACGATTATTTGCATGATCATCCTCCCAGTTCAGTTGTAACACTGACAGTGAAGTACAGACAGCACTTCACTAAAAATGACACATTTATTTCTACTGTGCAATCTGTCCATTAACCAACTCTCAATTCATGCTATCAAACCCAACCCCACAAATCTTAACCTCCTACAAAAATCTCTTCTACAGCATTTATTGATAACCTTTTGAAAATACAAACTATCTGCACTTCAGCTGCTTCCTCTTGTCTGTCCTGCTAGTCGTACCCTCAAAAGCTGAAATGGTTAGCACTGCTGCCTCACTGTGTCAGATACCTGGGTTTGATTCCACCCTGGCATGACTGTCTGTGTGCAGTTTGCACATTCTCCCGGTGTCTGCATGGGTTTCCTCCCACAGTCCAAAGATGTGCAGGCTAGGTGGATTGGCCATGCTAAATTGCCCATAGTGTTCAGGGATGTGTAGATTAGGTGGGTTATGAGGAATGGGTCTGAGTGGGATGCTCTGAGGGGTGGTGTGGACTTGTTGGGCCGAAGGGCCCGTTTCCACACTGTAGGGATTCTATGATGATCTATGATGTGTGTTTTGTTTCCCCCATTGTTATGCCTTTTCTTTACTAATATTAATTAATCTCAGTTCCTCATTCTCCTTCAGATCCCAGATTCCCCATGAGTTCCAGCATATTCTTTGCATTTTTTGTGAAGAAAGGCACAAAATATTTAATTGCTTTGTTATTTCCTTATTCCCAGTTATAATTTCTCCTGTCTCTGCCACTAGGAGGCTCACCTTTACTTACACTTGTCAAAGTTCTTAGAATCCGTTTCTATACTTCTTGGTCATTTATTATAATTTTATTCTGTTTTCTTTTTTTAATCCTTTCTACATCATGCTTTGCTAATTCCATAAATTCTCCAATCTTTAGATTTACTGCTCTTTTTTGCGACTCTAAATCTATTCCTTTAATCTACTTTTCTTTAGTTAGCATGACTGCACCACTTTGTCAGTGGACCGTCAATTCCTCAAGCAAATATACATTCATTAAGAATTAGGAATGCAAAAAAGATGCATTGCTTATCTACCATCATATCCTTCATTTAATTTACTGACCTACTTCAGCCATTTGTCCTTATTCCTCCATAATTTGCTTAAATTACATTTCATTTTTGGATTTAACAACATCACTCTCAACATTAATATGAAATTTAGTCATATTATGAGCATTCTATTTCCTCAAAGGGCCCTTTACTACAAGATCACAATTAACCACCTCATTACGCAACAGTGGATTTAAAATAGCCTGTTCCATTGTTGGCTCCTCTACATATTATTCCAGAAATCTCTCTCAAAATCCATTCTCTGAGATAGTTTAATCAATTTGGATTGACCAGTCTATAAAATGAATATCCTCTATACTTGTTACATTTCCCTCTAATTTTCTAACATATCGCTTGTTCAACAGTGATTAATATTATAAAAATTACTCCCATGTACTCATTGTTATTCCTTGGCTCCACACATACCAATTCTACATACTGATTTTTCTGGGCCAAAGGAAGATTCTTAGTGTATTCTTTACCATGATTACCCCTCCATATGTTTCATTTGCCTGTTTTGTTTTAAAACGTCAAATGCTTTGGCATATTTAGTTCCAGACCTTGGACTTGCTGCAGCCATGTCTCACCAATGGCTCGTAGATCAAATCCATTTATCCCTACTGGTGCCATCAATTGTGCTGGATGCTTTGTGCATTCAGTTATAGAGCCTCTAATTATAATGTTTTATTATTTTTTCCATTATGTTGCCGTTGCTGTTATTATTATTAAACTCTTGTCCATTTTTGACACAAATTGCTTGATTATATCCAAATTGTTATTCAGCTCTATAACTTTGAGATTTTCTTTGAATTTATAAATTTACTAGAAATTTCCTTCTCACTTATTAGTTTAAAGGCCGGCCTAGCACCCTGGTTATTAGATTTATAAGAATATTCATCCTACCGTGGGTTAAGATAGACTGTCTCAATGGAAGAACTCCTACCTCCAATTTCAATAATACACTTAAAATGTCTCTATGCCAAATTGCATGTGTCACACATAGTACTCTAGAGATTATTGTTGAGATTCTATTTTATAAATTAGTAGAACTTCATTCCGAATTCATCCTGTCTTGTCGGTTCCTATGTAGGTCACAGCAACTAGATTCTTGCCCTTCCCTTGCCAACTAACAGCAGATGTCCTTAATTTAAAAGCAAAAGGCTGGGGATTCTGGAGATCTGAAATGAAAACAAAATATCAGAGAAATTAAGCAGGTCTGGCACTATATACGGAGAGATAAACAGAGTTAATGTTTTGAGTCTAAAATGATTTTTCCACAACTGCAGATGGCTTGGCAGTGGGCAGATAAAAGCCTTCAGGCTTTTCATCATGATGCAAAGATTAGTATCTATCCCAATTAATATATCCCCCTCCACTACTACAACATTTCTTGTCACTCCCATCCATTTGAATGTACCATGGTCAATTTATTCATTTCTCTTGCCTTTGTTTTCATCAATACTGGTAGGAAGTCTTCATAACTGTTTGACAATAGTAAAGGCTGAACTTCTTTATCACTGAATCCACGGTCCTTTTAACTGTGAGTCCGTCACTTACTGACCACTGACCAAATCTAAACATTACACAACCTGAGGGTTGAGAGTGCCTCCTGTTAAAGTATCATATTAACACATGCCTTCCCAGACGTACCACAATGCCTTCACCTGGGTGTCCAGCTCAGTTTACTCGATGCAGGATTGGAAACCAGAGCACTGGAATACTGGACTCTGGGAGGCAATAAAAGCATAGACGAGAGTTTCAGTGATAGATTGGCTGAGATAGGTGCCGTTACTGAGGCTGAAGGGGCAAAACTGACAATCAAGAGGATGGAATCAGAAGATCAGCTCAGGTTCGAATAGTAATGGAGGTTTCAAATATTCTGATTTGACCAGAGACTGTTTTTTCCCTTTATTCATTCATGGGATGAGGGCATCGTTGGCTAGACAGCATTTATTGCCCATCCCTAATTGCCCAGAGGGCAGTTAAGAGTCAACACATTGTTGTGGGTCTGGAGTCCCATGTAGGCCACACCAGATAAGGATGAGTTTCCTTCCTTAAAGGACATACTGAACCAGATGGGTTTTTCCAACAATTGACAATGGATTCATGGTCATCATTAGACTCTTAATTCCAGATATTTATTGTTGAATTCAAATTCCACCATCTGCCGTGGCAGGATTCCAACCCGGGTCCCCAGAACATTATCTGGGTATCAGGGTTGACAGTCCAATTATAATACCATTAGGCCATCCCCTCCCCTGTGGTTGGGAGAGCCGGTGGTGAGGGTATAGGATTTACACCTTGAGAAAGAAAACACTTTTTCACTTTCCAATTTTAACTGGAGCAGATGGAACATACTCAGGACTGGATGTAAATGAGTAGTGAACAATTTGAGATAGTGGAGAGGTAAAAGCTAGTAGTCAATGTGCATGTGGAAGCTGACCCCATAGGTGATTTCCATCAAAGCAAAGCATGCAAATGAAGGAAAGGAGGATTCAGGGATGAATCCTTGAAAGGAAATCACAAAAAATAAATCATCGTTTTTATGTTTAGGATGGAAAACCAAGAGTGAGGGTAATTCTATCAAGTTGAATAATGGAGAGGAAATGGAGGAAGGTGGTGCAATTTTCTTTCCTTGTTCTTCAAGTCACTTAAAACACCTCAATTTTTGCACGTCAATACAGGAGGAGCTTTTCAAGATAATACCTGCATGGCCAGTGATGTGCTGTAAATGTCCCCAATTTCACCACTCTCTCTTTGTCGATCCTGTATCTTTTGTATCAGTTTATTCATTGTAGATTGTACCTTCTTTCTTGTATCACTGCTGTACATCCAGGTACCAGTGTTGGGCACTTTAGATTCACTGACACACTTAAGGGCCAAAACCATCATCGCTGATGTGCCAACTGTTAAAACAGAGCCAGATGAACTATTAATTTAACTATGTCAAAAAATTTAAACTGTAGGGAGTTCAAGTTCAAGACATCAGGCAACATCAAATTGGGACCCCAATCCGACCCCACCACCAAAGACATCTTTCCCTCCCCACCCTTATCTGCTTTCCGGAGGGACAACTCTCTCCGTGACTCCCTTGTCCGCTCCACACTCCCCTCCAGCTCCACCACACCCGGCACTTTTCCCTGCAACCGCAGGAAGTGCTACACCTGCCCCCATACTTCCTCCCTCACCCCCATCCCAGGCCCCAAGAAGACTTTCCACATCAAGCAGATGTTCACCTGCACATCTGCCAATGTGGTATACTGCATCCGCTGTACCCGGTGTGGCTTCCTCTACATCGGGGAAACCAAGCGGAGACTCGGGGACCGCTTTGCAGAACACCTACGCTCGGTTCGCAACAAACAACTGCACCTCCCAGTCGCGAACCATTTCAACTCCCCCTCCCATTCCTCAGACGACATGTCCATCCTGGGCCTCCTGCAGTGCCACAACGATGCCACCCGAAGGTTGCAGGAACAGCAACTCATATTCCGCTTGGGAACCCTGCAGCCCAATGGTATCAATGTGGATTTCACAAGTTTCAAAATCTCCCCTCCCCCCACTGCATCCCAAAACCAGTCCAGCTCGTCCCTGCCTCCCTAACCGGTTCTTCCTCCCACCTATCCCCTCCTCCCACCTCAAGCCGCACCTCCATCTCCTACCGACCAACCTCATCCCGCCCCCTTGACCTGTCCGTCCTCCCTGGACTGACCTATCCCCTTCCTAACTCCCTACCTACACTCACCTTTCCTGGCTCCATCACTGCCTCTTCGACCTGTTTGTTTCCTCTCCACCTATCCTCTCCTCTATCCCTCTTCTATCCGCCTCCCACTCTCTCCCTATTTATTTCAAAACCCCCTTCCCCTCCCCCTTTTCTGATGAAGGGTCTAGGCCCGAAACGTCAGCCTCTCTGCTCCTATGATGCTGCTTGGCCTGCTGTGTTCATCCAGCCCTGCACCTTGTTGTCTCGGATTCTCCAGCATCTGCAGTTCCTACTATCTCTGATCAAATTATGTCCGTCCGGAGGTCATTGGCAAGCATGTCACAAGTTGCATTATAATTGTATTGGTGTCAGTCTGGTTCTTTTCATAGCACTCAAGTCAGAAATCTGAGCTCAAGACTGGAGCATAAAATTTAGCTGACACTGCAGCACACTCTCAGTACTGTACTGCAATGCCTGTAGCATTGTCTTTCAGATTAACTGTTAAATCAGAGCACAGGTCTGCTTGCTCTATTGGTACAAGGGCCCACATTAGACCGAGGGTCCTTCCAGTGTCTCAGCAAATGCTCTTTCCTCAAGATACCCCACACAAATAATTCAGTTGATGGTTTCTGTCAATTATGTTGATCAGATCATATGCATCCAAATGGCTCCAAGTGTAGTTTATAGAAAATCCAGAGCAATATATAATGGTGACTTATACATCTGCTGACATGCACCATTGACTAATTTAAAGTTACTGACAAAGCACCCTGGGATGTTTTTAAAGGTATATGTTATTTATTTCTTTTTCTGTCTGACAGTGATTTATAAAAGAATTTAGAGAAGGGGGGCATGAAATCCACCCTTATTCTCAAAAGAAAAAACTCAAAGGGCAGTCTTCTGTGGTTAACAAAGGAAGTTAAAGATTGCACAAGATTAAAGGAAAAGGCTTATGAAATGGGCAGAATTAGGAATAAATCTGAGGATTGGAAAGTTTGAAAGAATACAGCAAAGGAAAACTAAGAAACTGATAAAGGAAAGGAAGAATAGAACATGAACGCAATTTAAGAATAAACAAAAATGGACTGTGAAAACTTCTACAGGTACGAGGAAGGAAGCATTTGACTAAGTGAATGTGGGTCCATTACATTCTGTCAGGAGAATTTATAATAGAGAACGGAGAAATAGTGGTGAAGCTAAATGATCATTTTGCATGTTTTTAAGAAATCTCCCAGAATTAGGGATCAAGTATGAGGGAAAAACGAGAAGTTGAAAAATGAGTATTTGTAGGAAGATTGTACTGGGGAAATTAATGTGGCTGAAAATTGATAAATACCCAAGATCTGGCCTTCAACACTTGGGTTGTAGATTGAGAGAGCTAGAGAAATAGTTGATGCATTGGTGATGATGTCCCATAATTTCAGATTCTGGAATGATTCCTGCAGATTGGAAGGTAGAAAATGTTACCACACTATTTAATAAAGGATCACAGAGAAAACAGAGAACTGCAGACACATCAGCCTTTCACCAGTCATAGGAAAAATGCTAGAATCTATCAAAAATAAATGAACACTTCAAGGAAATGATCTGATTGGGCATAGTCAGCAACAATTTGTGAATGGAAACTAGTAAAATAAAGCACATGTTGTCCCCTATTACATACTCACATGGATTAGGGAATGGCTAGCAGACAGAAAACAGTAGGAATAAATTGGTCATTCTGGAGTTGGCAGACTGTGACCAGTGGAGTGTCACAAGGATCAGCCTCCCACCTGATCCCACCAGATCCCACCCTCCCAGCCTGATCGATAGCAACTTCTTTGTCTGTCCAACTGTCTTTCTCTCTCTGTGGGCTCTATCCTATCGTTTACTCCCTACCCCATCCACCTCCCTATTTTCTGCATATAAACTGACATTTTCCCAGCCACCATCAGTTCTGAGGAAGGATCACCGGACCTGAAACATTAACTCTGTTTTCTCCTTCACAGATACTGCCAGACCTGCTGAGCTTTTTCAGCAACTTTTGTTTTTGTTCTTGATTTACAGCATTCGCTGTTCTTTTGGTTTTAACTCACTGCCACATCTCTTCCAGGCGTGCTCACCTTGAAGAAGTTCTGCTCCTCTCTCTGACGGGATTTCCATTCCAATCTCTCTTCTTGCCCACCGACTTTAACTTCACTTTCACTCCTGGTGTTTGACCAAGTATTTGCCAAAACTCGTTTCCACAGCCATAATCACATTCCTTAGTGACTGCCTCTGGCTCAGACTCACCCCACGTGGATTCCAACTGAAGTTTCATCCCTCATGTTTTGAATCCTCCCAGGGTCACAGATATCGCCAGGATGTTCAACGTTCCACAGACAGCTGCTCTCACCGCATCCTGAGACCCACACTCAGTGCCATGCGGCGCCACATGCGCACTCTCAACCTCTCTCTCCAACAGCATCGCAACGCGCTGGCTCAGGGCTGCACCACTCCGCAGTTCCACTTCATCCTCTGGCTCATTCGTTGTGCTAACAAGAAACTTTTTCTTTTCCTTTCAGGCATCAAGGTCCACAAGATGCAACAACTCAAAGATGCCCATGGCCCTCCAGAACCTTCCTCTCCTCACCTTCCCTCTGACTCTATCCCCTCCCCCAACTCCCCCACCTCCTGTCGGGTATTCACCATCCCTCCTAACCTTCCGCTCTCCGACGCTGAACGCTCTGTACTCAGCTAAGGCCTCAGCTTTATCCCTCTGCGTCCCCACCTTAACGAATTTCGGGCACGACATGACGCCGAACTGTTCTTCTGCCTTCTTCGCCTCCATACTCATTTCTTTGGACAAGAGTCCTCTCCCCGTCCCACAGACCCCTTTGCCCAACTCCAACACTCTCCCTCCACCTGGTACCCTCCCTCCGGCCTTTTACCTGCACTCGATCTTTTCATTGAGAACTGTCGACGTGACATTAGTCGCCTCAATTTCACTGCCCCTCTCAACAAACCCAACCTATCTCCCTCCGAAATGACTGCACTCCGTGCACTCAGATCTAATCCTAACTTTGTCATGAAACCTGCCGATAAGGGTGGTGCTGTTGTTGTCTGGCGTACTGACCTCTACCTTGCAGAGGCTGAGCGCCAGCTCTCAGATACCTCCTCCTACCTTCCCCTGGACCATGACCCCACCATAGCACATCAGGCCATTGTATCCACTATGGTTTCGGATCTCATTTCATTCGGTGATCTCCCCCCATCCACTTCCAAACTAATAGTCCCCCAAACCCGCACAGCTCGTTTCTACCTCCTGCCAAAAATCCACAAACAGGACTGTCCAGGTAGACCCATTGTTTCAGTCTGCTCATGCCCCACAAAGAACTCATCTCTTCCTACCTTGACTCAGTCTTCTCCACCCGGTCCAATCCCTACCCACATACACCCATGATTCAACTGACGCCTTACGCCGGTTTCAAAGCTTCCAGTTTACCGGCTCCAGCCACCTCCTCATTACCATGGATGTGCAATCCCTTTACACATCTATTCCTCACCAGGAGGGTCCTAGGGCTCTCCGTTTCTTCCTGGAGCAAAGACCTGAACCATCCCCACCCACCACCACCCTCCTCCACTTGGCCGAGCTTGTCCTCACCCTCAACAACTTCTCTTTCAACTCCTCTCATTTTCTTCAGGTCAGATGGGTTGCCATGGGTACCCGCATGGGCCCGTTATGCCTGTCTCTTCGTGGGGTACGTGGAACATTCCTTGTTCCAGTCCTATTCTGGCCCCCACCCACAACTCTTTCTCCGATACGTTGATGATATCATCGGTGCTGCTTCCCTCTCTCGTCTGGAATTGGAAACCTTCATCAATTTCGCCTCCAATTTCCACCCTGCCCTCACATTCACCTGGTCCATCTCTGACACCTCCCTTCCCTTCCTCGACATTTCTGTTTCCATTTCTGGGGATAGACTGGCCACTAATATCCATTACAAACCCATTGACTCCCACAGCTACCTGGACTATACATCTTCACACCCCACTTCCTGTAAAGACTCCATCCCATTCTCTCAGTTCCTCCGTCTCTGTCGCATATGTTCAGATGAGGCCAGCTTTGACAAGGGAGCCTCTGAAACGTCCACCTTCTTCCTCAACCGAGGATTCCCCAGCTCCGTTGTCGACAGGGCCCTCAACCAGGTCCGACCCATCTCCGGCACTTCCATCCTCACCCCTTGTCTTCCCTCCTGCAACAGCGATAGGGTTCCCGTTATCCTTACCTACCATCCCGCCAGCATCTACATCCAGAAAATCATCAGACGCCATTTCCGCCACGTCCAGCGAGATGCCACCACCAGACACATATTCCCCTCCCCTCCCTTGTCCGCATTCCACAGAGACCATTCCCTCTGGGACACCCTGGTCCACGCTTCCTTCACCCCCAACACCTCCCCACAGCTGTACGGCACCTTCCCCTGTAACCGGCGAAGGTACAACACCTGCGCATTTACCTCCTCCCTCCCCAGAATCCAAGGGCCCAAATATACCTTTCAGGTGAAGCAACACTTCACCTGCACTTCCAAGAATCTAGTCTGCTGCATTCGCTGTTCACAATGTGGTCTCCTCTACATTGGGGAAATGAAGCATAGACTTAGCGAGCGCTTCGCCTAACATCTACACTCTGCTCGCAAAAAAGACCCTGAACTACCTGTTGCCTGCCACTTCAATGCACCACCATGCTCTCTGGCCAACATCTGTGTCTCTGGCTTGCTACAGCGTTCCAGTGAAGCCCAACGCAAGTGAGGAACAACACCTCATTTTCCGCTTGGGGACCCTACAGCCTTCCGGACTTCATATTGAGTTCAATAATTTTAGGGCCTAAACTCTCCCATGTCCCAGCCCCCACCCCACACACCAGGCCTTGTTATCACATAGGCTGCCACTACACACCCCCTGTTGTTAGTCACTAACAGTCCCCATTAACAACTATTCACCCTCTCAGCCTGATCGTTAGCAACTCCTTTGTCTGTCCAACTGTCTTTCTCTCTCTTTGGGCTCTATCCTATCATTTACTCCCTACCCAACCCACCTCCCTATTTTCTGCATATAAATTGACGTTTTCCCAGCCATCATCAGTTCTGAGGAAGGGTCACCGGACCCGAAACGTTAACTCTGTTTTCTCCTTCACAGATGCTGCCAAACCTGCTGAGGTTTTCCAGCAACTTTGTTTTTGTTCTTGATTTACAGCATCCGCAGTTCTTTTGGTTTTTATCACAAGGATCAGTCCTTGGGACATGACTAATTCACAATATGTATCAATGATTTGGAAATCAGACAAATATTTCCAAATTTTAAAATTACACAAAGCTCAGCAGGAATGTGTTGTCAGGAAGATGTAAAACAGTTTAGTCATTGGGCAAATAGCAGATACCTTTAAAAACATCCCAAGGTACTTTGTCAGTAACTTTAAACTGGTCAATAGTGCAAGTCAGCAGATGGAAGATAATGTGAAAACCTCTACTTTGGCAGGAGAAACAGAAGCGCAAATATTTCTTAAATGTTGAGACGTGGGAAAGTGTGGATGTACAAAGGGACCTGCATATCTTTGTGAATACACCATTAAAGGCTAACATGCAATTGCAGAAAACTATTAGGGAGCTAGTGGAATGTTAGCCTTTATCATGAGAGGATTTGAGTACAGCAATAGTGACATGTTGATTCAATTGTATCGAAGCTTGGTCAGTCTACACCTGGAGGACTGCATGGAGTTTTAGTGTTCTTAGCTCAGGAAAGATATTATTTCCAGAGAAGGAGCACAGTAAGGATTGACTAGACTTGTTATGGTAGGGGAGGACACTGCTATGAAGAGACATGGGCAAATTGGCCCTATAATTTCTGGAATTCCTCTGGCAATTTGATGAAAACCCACAAAATACTTAAAGGGAAAGACAGGTAAGATGTTTCCTTTAGTTGAGGAGACTAGATCAGGGAGTATAATTTAAAAATAAGGGAGATGATATTTAGGACTGATGACATTTATTCAGAGGGTTGTGAATCTTTAGAAATCTCTACCCCAGAAGGTTGTGGAAACTCAGTCTTGATAGATTTCTGTTTACCGGGGTGATGGGAATAATGTGAGTAAAAGTGCTTGATCAGCCATGATCATATTAAATGGCAGAACAAGCTCAATGGGCTGAATGGCCTATTCTTGTTCCGGTGTTTCATTCAATGCCAAATCCAAGGAGGCTGTTCTCAGTTTTACAGTTACTGACCAAATCTGTTCATTAGTCATGATAAGTAATGTCAATCATAAAAGTCAGTGTAGGGAATTGTTTTTAATCAATTGACAGCGCTGATCTTGCTAAGGTATTATTCTCCAGGATTTGGCTGCCTTACTATAGCACACTAATGTGTCTGTTATATGTGGACAAGGTACTGGGCACTACTCTCATCTGAGTCTGCAGGCTGCATGTTCAGGTCCCATAATACAGACTTGAGCACAAAATCAAGGCTGACATCCTAATACAGACCTGAGGGAGTGCTGTACTTTCAGATGAGAACAGGAGCTGTCTGCTTTAATAAAAGAGAGGAGCTGGAGATCTAAATGAAAACAAAATACTTGAGAAACGTAGCAGGTCAGGCAGCATCTATTGAGAGAAAGAGAGTTAATGTTTTGGGTCCACTATTACTCTTCTTTGGGACTCCTATAATCCCTGTCAATACTCTCAGATGGATGGAAAGATCCTCATGGTACTGTTTGGAGGAGAGGGGCATCCTCTGCAGTGATCATCTCAATATTTCGTCTTCAAACAATATCACTAAAATAGGTTATCTGGGTCGCTTTCCCATTGCTGTTTCTGGGACCTTGTTGACTGCAAATTGACCACTGTGTTTCCACATTATAACATTACTTTGAATGTACTTTATTTGGTGTCAAGTGTTTTGGGATGTTCTGAAGCCATGAAGAACACTATACGAATGCAAGACACTTTCTATTTATCATGCGATAGCTGTGGATGTTGCCTTCCCTAGGGGTTACACACAAACTAAGCTGCAGCAATTATGAACAGGGAAACACCATCAATACTTGTGTACAGGACACATTCCAGTTGTAACAATCTAATCAATGTCAGTTAACTTGGCATAATCCAAGAATCAAAGAAATGATCATTCAGCTTAATGTTTTCTTTAAGTCAATGAACTTTTGGAGATGTCAGCAATAATAATCATTTTTGGAATTTTCTCTATGCCCACAAAATGAAACTGAAATGAACTGCTTACCAAACCAGTGCCGGTGATGCTCATGTGGCGTCAATCCTGACAGGGCATGAAACCAGTGATGATGATGTTCATGTGGTACCAGTCCTGATAGGACACTGCTATCTATCCGCACAACATTCACACACAATGCCAGCACGCCCAGACTGTACTGGTAGTAGTTGTTGTAAGAGACATCATGTTCTGGAATCAGAAGATGAAACAGGGATTAGAACAACATCAGCAAGCTGAAATACAATTGTGCACAGTCAGAACCGACTGAGGCTGCCTTCACCATATCCTCTAAAATGCAACAGAACACATAACACACTCATGATACAACATTCTGGTATACAATAACAGAGCGTACAGTTTTACAATATCCATTGTAAACTGCAATTCTATGTAATACATGCTTGAACATACAAGAAAATTCCTCCACATGCTCTATGTGCTACAAGTCCTCAAAACATTAACATACAACATCACACAAGCAAGTTTCAGTATTTCTGTGCCTGTCTTCATTGTCCCCAAGCTTGATAATTTCAAGTGAGACTTCCATTTCTATTGTGTGACACTTCTCACAGGAGGGGAGGGCCATTTCACCCTGACTGAGTTGATTGGACTCAATGGTTTTTGATAAATACTAATTTCAGTTCAGTCTATGTTGGTTTATTCCATATTCGTTTCATGAAACATGGTAAACCTGGAAGCTCAGAAGTTTGAGACAACAAGGTGCAGGGCTGGATGAACACAGCAGGCCAAGCAGCATCACAGGAGCTGAAAGGCTTACGTTTCGGGCCTAGACCCTTCATCAGAAAATAGGCCGGAAACGTCAGCCTT